AATTATCGAAATATATAAATGTAATGTTCGTAGATAATGGGATCAAAGAAACATGTCCGGATAATCTAAAAATCCGGATAATCGAGGTCCGGATAATCGAGTTTCGGATAATCGAGATTTGACTGTACTTGCTTCCGTTTCATTCATTCGTCAAAACTATGCCAATTACTTCTTTGCACTGGTTTTTTTTTCCATGTATATCACTCAATCATGTCTCTGATGGTCCTTTGTATCGATTGCTCAGTGTGTGGTCGACTCTACACAACGATACATTTTTAGAGAGACCTTATATGCGATGCTGGGGAATACATTGTTCTAGAGGACATTGCACCAATGTTCGTTTCAAACACTACAACAAAACCAAAGGAAAAATCTTCAGGAGCAGTTTACGAGTAGAATTGCCATTTGCCTCTTTAAACCATTTAGTGTCAGTTTTTAATCTCCTTTTCTTGCCCCTCGTATATTTGTTACAATTTGTGAATCAATGTCAGTATCTGAGCGGCAGTCCACCTACTCCTCCCTAAACCAACAAAAGTCAACTGATAACAAGTCAGGGTTAATGTTGGATTAGGGGAGGGGTACTGATATCCATCCCATATGGTAAAATATCTCAGAGATATTTTACCAATTTTCTTTCTGTTTTATCATTCTTACGGAAGCAGCTTTTTCGGGACAGATTTTGTTTACTTTAAATCTGGTTTTTTTTCATTTTCTTTATTATTTATTTTTTTTCTTTTGTAGATAATGGACTGTAACTATTTTTACGGAGGGGATATAGAGGCTCTTTTAGAAGATCCATACCGCTCGGGTGTATCGCTTCAATGGGTGTTGGATCTCATGTGTGAAAAAATTCATGGAGTAAGTAATTCATACTTTTCTGTGAAAGATATTGGCTATTTAGTGCGAAAAGCTGACTTTGCCTAAGGGTTCGCTACCGTAACTTACACCCTCCGCCTTCACGATGAAACAAAAATGGTTTGTTTGCGGCTGTAAACGAAAAACTTGCTTGGCTGCCACAATATTCGCCGGCCGTAAGGGCGTGTGTCTGTTAACCCTATACACCCGTTGGTGATCACTTACCATATTCTCATGACTTAAATGTTTGATTGAGCAGTTGTTCTGTGAGAAGAAATTAGATTTTAGTCAGTGGTGAGTTGACATTTGCCGTCACAGTTCAACAACTGACAGCGCACTTGTTTCATTATGCAGCCAAAACTATTGGTAGTTGATGACGTGGGCTCAAACCCCAACAACCCAGAAGAACTGGCGGAGATTTCCGCACCTTTTGATGTTATGATCAGTTTACCACGAAAAGACAGGTTTGTGATCTTTCTCTCCATTCTTCTTCGTTTCTTTTTCCTTCTTTTCCCTTTTTTTTTAAATTAATTATTTTTTTTGGGGGGAGGGGTGTGGGAGAGTAACTTTTAAGGCCTTAAATGCTTTCGCGATGGCGGAACGGGGGGTGGGTTAGTTCAGCAAATGAGCCCTTACTGGGTGTTATGTTTTTGTACAAGACACTAGTCTCTACCTAAGATCTAATCTCGTTCCCAGGTCTTTTTAATAAAAGACGGGTCAAGATGTTGACTGCCTACAAGACGTACGCTGTTGTTTCCATTTGCACTGAAGTTCGATTACATTTCCATAGAGTGTCGTAATAGCGAAAGGATCGCAAAGGCCAATCAGAGCTAAGGAAGATTTCACAAAAATCCAATAAGAACTCAAAGTAGATTCAAGTAAATTTTTACAAAGGGCGGGAAATGCGAATGATCTTGTCGCGATTGGCTTTAGTTTTACATTTGATTGGTTGATTGGTTTTACTTTTGAATATGATTGGTTGATTGGTTTTGATTTTGCATCTCATTGGTTGAGAAGGGGTGCAAGTTTTCTAGTCCAATCACAAAGTGAAGTTAAGAAATGCTGATTCAATTCAGAATCACCTTGGTTACTTAACCCTTTAACTCCCATGAGTGACCAAGACAGAATTTCCCCTTACAATATCAATACAATATCAACCAGATAAGTGATGAGAATAAAGAAAAATATCATTTTGGGGATAATTAATGGATCCAATACTAAATTCTCTGAACTAACATTACAAGAACTGTATGGTTGAGAGTAAGGAGAATTACAAATTTGATCTGGGAGTTAGGAGGGTTAATTGGAAACTACTTCGTAAGAAGACTAAAAGCTTTAATTTCGCTCTGTGAATGAACTGTTACAATTCTTTCATTATTTTCTCCTTTACTTCATCTTTCAGGCCGCGTGCAAGGAGTTTCACTAACAATTTTGCGCGTCTGCTGGGTGAAAACTCAACGAAGTTGTCTTTGAAGGACAAGTTGGAAAAAGCTGCGATGAAGGACCCTCACCGGCTCAACTCAAATTTATTAGAACCCAGATAAGATGGTTGCATCAAAAAAAAAATTTACATAGTGTAGCTTTAAAAGCCAATTTTTATTAATATTTATTGAATTCACAGAGTGAAGTGGAGTATGGTAGAGTAGAATATCGATTGGACGCATTTAACCACGAAGCAGTCAAAGTATATAATATTCTGATTATAAGCTGATCCTCTCATTGATGAAAGCGATTTTCTTGAATTATTTTGACGACTAGTTTTAAATGTGCACTTTTATGAAAGGTAGCGTGTGACATTTATAATCAATTCGCGATGCGATCATATTTAACTAATCATTTTAAGCCGAGCACGACAGTTTTTGCCGCGTCAGCAAGTACTCACGTGTTATCTTTCCCAAAGTGCATTGTTGGCTGAAGCTGCCGTAAGTGACACCTGTGTTTTAACGAATACAGAGGTTTATCTTGGAATAACGAAAGCGGAATGCACGAAAATTAAGATTCAGTAAATTTTATTGTCTCGGAATCAGCTTAGTTTCATGCATGGAAACTGAAAATCATCTTATCTTATAGTTATAGGGGTACTTTTTTTTTAATTGTGCAGTTTCGTTGTTGTTTTTGATTTTTATAATACTTCAATTCATATTAAAAGGGGACAATATTGGTAACCTTTTCCAGTTCACTTGCAGAAATATACGTTTTGTTAAGCTGGGGAACTTAATAGAAAGAAGGAACATTATAATATTTTAACATACATTTCTTCCCTTCCTTTGTAATTTTCGTTAAGTGGAAGAAAACAGTTTTCAATTATTGCTTGCTGGAGTAGGCAAACTCCACATAGTCCTGAATAGTCTGAGATGGAACAAGAGTGTTTAAGGATAGGTAATATTAAAACGGATTGCAAACCTTGATCTACTTAAGGCAGCCGGAATGGTCAATGTGATTAGGGCAGTTTTTGAGTGTCGATAACGAAAAGTTAAGTAATTCCAGAACAATAACCATAATATGCATATGTTCCAGAAATTCGTTTTCTGTGCGTGGTACTGTTTTCAGTTTCATCCTTTGGGCTTTCAATTCACAAATGATAAACTGAATTCTTCCGCGGACCTTTTTTTTAATGAGCCTGACAGCCTCGTTAGGTGGCTAATAAAAAAAATCCGTTTAATAGGGAAAACCAAATGAAATCGTTGGTTTTTTATCAGGTTTGATTTACGCATCACAATTTTTATTTAGTCTACGATTTACTGTTTCTCACGTGTTTGAATTTTAATTATATGCTCGAAACTGTGTTAAACAGTTTCTATCATGGGGGTTACTAACCAGTAAACATTACAATTCCTTAGAACATACCTTATAAGAATTAAACTGGAAAATCTTTATCACAGTATCTGTGACTGTTTCTTGTGTGAGTAACTAACATCAGGAGTCCAGTTTACGAACTCTTTTGAAAACCTTCAACAGGCTGGTTTTATCAGGGCGAGAACTTCAATTGCGTGGACTTTAACTGCTCTTTGTTCGCAAATTACTGCAAAAAAGATACCCTGCTGCTGAAGGGGAACCGAACTCTCTCCTCAAGCTGAAGTGAAAAATGACTCTTAAGGTTACACACTAAGCTTTCTTTCCTGTGATATCCTAAAGAAATTGACGCTAAAATCTCAAAATGATGCTTCCTTTGGAAGGGTTAGCGCGACCGACGTCATCATGGCTCTTTGCTTGTGTGGGGAGACTGACGTCATTCGACGAGAGATCGCATATTTTTACGGTGCAACCGGCGGCAACTACACTCGAACTTTGTTCCAACATGTTAAATCTACCTAGAAATATGACGTCGTCAGCTCTGCAACTCGACAAGTGCAATATTGAAACGTCCACCGCGGCTTGGCGTGATTTTCAAGGACCTTGATCAGCTCAGCTGCTCTGGTGACAAGTCAGGCCACCAGAGAATGTGGACTGAAAATAAATTAAACTGTGTCTCACCCAAAACTACACGCTCGCGACTGCAGCTATAGAATGATTTTGCACCAACATACGAAGGTCAAGTCATTTGCTTTTCCCACCGATAGTCGTGAATAAAGAACTGTGCGGCGGTCAGAAATCAAAAATACAATGTGCCTCTGTGTAATAAACACATGATCACAGGTTACGTTCAACCGTATCATCTAAAATGTATTATGCGATCAAAAAGCTTCACTGCACTAATTTTTAATTAGTTTTCAGAAATATAATTTTTTAAAAGGACTTCTTAAAAGCCATTCACTTGCAAAAATTAATCGAAAATGTACTTTTTCATCCTTAATCTGACCATATCATATCAATTGGCTCAATAATAATTAAAACTCGCTATTCACATTGCATCAATTTTGCCAATTTGTCATTTGCATTAATCTCTCAATTTGTAAATATCATGGCCAAAGAGGAATTTAATATTTTATCTTGTTTTGTCGAGAATTTCCGAGAGACAGGGAGAATGTCAAAAATATACCAATAAACATTGCGACAGTGAGAGCCAAAGTCGCGCGGGCGACAACTCGCGTTCTGATTGGTTCATTTTTGGCTCGAGATGTCATATGATTTCTACCTTTGCCCACCAGATATTTGGAGCGCTGTGATTGGCTTATACTCATCAGGCCACTCACAGCCCATCAACGGCAGTTTATCGTAAGGTTTTTTGCATGTATAAATTCTACGGACTTTTTAAAAGGAATTCTTTCGTTATATCGCTCGATGGGATTCACAATGCACTGTCTACTTTGTGGTAGGCGCTCCTCGTCGAGTGGGAAATACTTCTTGAACTTATTTCGCAAAATCGCACCGTCAGTTGTAAACGTTTGCGTGCGCGGCGTTGTGTTGTTCATCCTCGGAACTTTCTTTGCAATGGTTCTTTTCACGTTTTCTGTTTTACCAGAAGTACGTAGAAGGAGAATCCAAGATATAGGTATAATTGCAAAGCTCTTCAGTGCTGTGTGGTGGATCGCTCCGTCTTCTGGCACTGCTGCTGCAGTCGTGGGTTTGATTTATCCTTGTTCTGACATTCGCCTTGGAAAACCGCACAAACTAGAAAGAGAATGGTCTAGCGTTTTTAAATGCGTGGTGTTATTCCTTGGAATAAGTCATGCATGTGCCGTATCCTTTCCACTGTTGTGTCCTTTGGGTTTTAAAGTAATTTAATGTGAGTAGCTACGAGTGTTTGCGGAAACTTAGAAGCTAATTTCTAGCGTGATAGTGCAGTCAACGAAATTGACATAGGCGACTAGTTTATTTCCGGTCTGTGTAAAGCAGTCGTCCGAAAACGAAAAAAAACGCGATAAAAGCAGAAATACAACGTATATTTGTGAAAAAATCGCAGTGCATAACAAGAATAGCAAACTCTGGTTTGAAATAAGCCTCATTCAGTTACAAAACTTTAAAATCAGGGCAACGAAACCCGAAGATTGTTAAAACGTGTTTTTAATTGTTATGTATCGCGTTTTGAATCGAAATACGTAATTTAGTATCTTTCTTAAGAAATGTGAGCTATGCAGGACTATTCATCATTTGCTGATACATAGGAAATTTCCATCAACAAATTTATGAAACGCCGGTTGTTTTTCAAGGTATCAAGTTACACCTAAAATTTCCGGGACTGGCGTTGATTTGATGATCAAGTCGTTTAATGTGTTTATGTGACGGCAGTTTTTTGTGTATGTATTGTGTGCAAAGAAATTAAACTGGTAAAAGATTTTTGATTGAATATTAAAAAAAAATGTTAATCAATCTTTGTTGTTCAGCCTGAAATATAATTCTAGGAATTTTTGTTTGATACCCTTGTCATGATTTGTATTGTTGTAGTTATGGTTTATATTTTTGTTCTCTTTCATGTATCGGTTGTTTTTCGTCTTCAACAGAATTAATTTAATTATACAAGGCATCATGTCTTACACACATCATTGACCTGTTGCATTCAGAAAGCAAATAGGGTGACAAGCTCAGTAAGCAATTTAATTCAGTGGGATTCATTGCTATGGATAATTCTTGAGATTACCATTTTCCAGTCGTTTTTCAAAGTCAACATTTTTATTTACAAAAAATGTGATGATCCTACCAAAAACTACAAAAACAAGTAAAGAAATTCCATTATAGACCATTGGTCCAGCTGAACAAACCAGCCTTAAGTTCAAACTTTTTCCTTGCTAATGTGAATATGCTTATCATTCTTATCCAAACTATGTTTTTTTAAGTTAGCCATTCTTTTTTACTTCATGATTATCTGTGGACAGTAAATAGTTTTTAGGAGTTTCGTGTTGTTTATAACTTCTTAAGTAGAAAAAGTAATGTTTTGTCACCTTAACAGTTTTGTAGAAAATCACTTTTAACAGTCCAATGCACATCTTCCTCTTTATGGCTATTAGCTCACTGACCTTGTGGTGGTTATTTGACCGATCAAAAAATGGTCTTGGACTGGCTGTGCTGGTAACAATGTGTGCCTGTATTCTTCTACAATGTTTGATATACTTGGGAGTTTACAGGTAAAAAAATAATAATAATTTTAAGACATCAGTAAAATACTAGGATGGACTCCACTTCCTAGATCTGATATATTCTCCTTATTCTCTGAAAATAATGGCTTGTGTCTTTCAATTGGGAATATACTGATGTTGTCAGAATTGCCAGGTCAAATCGAAGAGAAATGCAATAATTGTTTGCTTAATCTTTAATTGTTTGACCAGACCCACCTAATGCATGAGTGATCCTGCAGTTTTATTTCAAAAAATCATGTTTGATTTTTACACCTCAATACTTGAACATCTGGACTAGGTTGTTCAAAGCTAGGTTAAGATAACACAGGGTTAATGTGAAATCTGATTTCAGATCTGATAACTTTAAAAGAAAATTTAGTCAAGTTCTTTTTGTCTAGAATATGACTACGTAATTCTCTTAAAAAGAACTCGAGAAATTATCCCAAAAAGGCTTTTGAATAAAGGAATAAAGAAACCTAGATTAAAATTTAACCTTGGGTTAGTGCTTATTGGCCTTGGAACAAGTGGGCCCTGGTCTTGTATA